TCATCCACAAAAAAGATTTTTTCTCATTTCCTTTCTTTTTCTTTCTTTTTGAAATAATGTTTTCTTTTTACGTTTAATCATTCTTTGATTTTCAAATATTTTTTTCTTTTTAAAAAATATTTTCTATTTTTCCCCTCTCCCTCTCTTCCTTTGGCCCATTATCTGACATACTTTTTTTCCCATTATCAGCACATATAGTTCCGTCATCATTTTTGCCCTCTTTTTTTTTAGGACAAAGTCTTCGTAATTTCACAGTCGTGATATGATCGTTCACTAAAAAAGAGTTTTGCGATTCGAGTGGAAATTGAAAGATAATTGTCCTCGCTTCCATTAAAAGTATGAGAGACACGAAAAGGTGTTTTCTTTTGTATAGCACAAAACGTTTAAAGAAGAGTGAGATAAAAAAAAATTTTCCTACTCGATTATTGGGAGATTATTTTAAATTAAATTGATTTTTAATCACTAGTCCATTAAAATTTTTATTTTACTTTTTAATATCTATATTAAATATTAATAAATTATTGAATTTGTAACGCTAAAATATTATTTGTATGATTTTAAATATTATTTAAATGATAAATATATATTTAAATTATAAATACTTGTAGTTAGACAATAAAAATATTAACGAGTGAAAATAAAATTGAATTCATTGAAGAAAATGATGGGAATCCCCGAATAATGTGAAATTCTCCAATGGGATCAATGGAATCAGGAAAAGATCGATTTCTCGATTTCGAGCTCTCTAATTGGTCCAAATTAAGCGCGCGCTAATTTAAATTGCTTAAAATTTAAAATATAAATGACTATCATTTAAAATAGTAAAAAACTGTAAATTTAAATATAATAATATAATATATTACTAATTTCTATATTATAATTATAATTTATAATAATAATTATAATAATAACAACAACAATAATAATAATAATAATAATAATAATAATAATAATAAAACATTTTTATTATAACAATTTTATAAAATCAAATTTATTTGTTTACTGGTGTTCGGCGATAGATGGGTAAAGGGGGGAAAATAGTATAATTGACTAAATTTGCAAAGAGAAAATATCTTTTTAAAAATTTTTAATTAAATTTCTTTCTCTGTAGAGAAAATGACTCGAAAATGAGTTTCTTTTTCTTTTGTATGTATGTATGTATAAACATATAAATAATTCAAGCAAATGAAGAAACACAATTTCAGTGCTAAGAAATGAAAAAAAACAGTTTTCTCTTTTGTTATTGTTTTCATGAAAAAAAAATTTTTTTTTCTGAAGAGACGAAACTTTCAAAAGGCTTCCTTTCATAAAGCCTCCTCTCCTCTTTTATAATCATTTGTATCTTTATTATTTTTCATTTTTCTCCTTTATTTTTCAAATTTATTTTTATAAAACAATTTTTTTTTAAATTTATTTCTTAAGTGCGTATTTATTATTTTTCTTCTCATCTCTCGATTATAAAAGGGAAAGAATTTTTATTCTGATATTAATTTTTTAAATTATGGATTTAATAAATTATACAATTAATTATAATAATAAATAATACAATTAATTATAATTATAATTTATAATTATAATTAATAATTATAATTAATAATTACAATTAATTGTAATTATAATTATAATTAATAAAAAGGATGGAGATATACTTGTGTCCTTTTCTATCTTACGAATAACGTTCGCGAATCTCTTGTGCTTTGGATTTTACGCGGGAAAAAATTATAGGTTATGTTTAGGGAAATTATTTAATTTATTTTTAATCATTCATTTTTAATCATCTGACATTAAAAAAAAGTTTTTATTAACTAATTTTACATATTAATTAATTAAAAATTGTTTTTGACTTCAGTTAATTAAAAAAGAATCTTAAATTAAGCAAAAACTTTCCCAAACATAACCTATAATTTTTCCCTCTAAAGTCCCATTCACAGGTAAGCGTCACATACATATATTCTGCTTATAGTGAAATAAATATTTTTCTTTTGACATTTTTCATTATGTATCACAAGTATGACATTTTTCTAACTTTGATAATTTTTATTCTTCAAGTTTTATTAAATATTAAGTATAATTTTCATAAAATTTTCATTTTGTTGTTTAATAAGTTTTTTTTATTAACCCTCTGCTATTGCTTTCATAGGAAATAATTTCAAAAAACGAAAATTTTAATTTTTATAAAACTTTTTTTACATGATATTGAAATAAATAATAATTATTGTTAATAATAATTTATTTATTAAATATATCTAGATAAATATAATTTTCATTATTTTATTCTAAAGGGACGTTTACAGCTCTGTGGGGATTGCGCATGCCTCCGGGTTGTCATGGAAACTTATAAGAGAGAAAGAGAACTTGATTTACATTCTCTGTCTCTCTTTCTCTTGTTCGTTACCATAACAACTCCGAGGCATGCGCAATTCATAGAACTACGATTTCTTTAGAATAAAATAACTAAAAATTCACTCAACTGAATTATAAACAACTTTTTTATTTCACTACTATTTACATTAAAAATATTATTAATAAGAACAATTTCTAATTAAAATATATAATTTTTTTAGTTCAGACAATAGAAGATTTTTCTAAAGAAAAATAGAAAAAATTAATTATTTTATTATTTAATAATTCCTTGTTATTATAAAGAAATTATTTTATATAATAATATAATAGTAATAATAAAAATAATACTATAAATTTTTTTTATTTTTATATTTTTTTAAACATTATTTCTTTGTCAAAAGGAAAATATTTTTCTTTTGTATTTTATAAACATTATATACTATGTAATTTTTTTACACACCTTCCGAGTAGGAATCAAGAGAGGGGGAGGGGTAGCAGAGAGAAAGTGAGAGAAAGAGGTAAGAGAGTAAGAAAGAGAGAGAGAGAGAAAGAGATGAAGAGAATAATGTTCTCGTTTCTCCTTTTATGACGACAGTTGGTGAAAAAGAAAGAAGTCCTTCGAGAATATGCGCCAAGTTATAAGAAATGAAAGCCAGTCTTAGATTCTACAATCCCCTTTTTTTCACCATATAAAAAATTTAACATCACTTTCATTTTAAGAATTTAGAGATTTCAGGACAAGTAATCCTTCTAATTAATTAAACACCGCAATTTTCGATTGTCAAACGAATCACATATATATAATGAAACGAAAGAGAGAAAAAAAAGATAATTAATTGACCGAGTTCTTTTTTTTCTAAGTAAAAAAGAAAATTAAATAAAAAAATAATATTCTATTTTACAGTAAATTTTTAAAAATACACATATTTTTTGTTTTTAAATAAATATCATTCTTTTAGTTTAAAAACTTAAGAAAAAAAAAATTGTCGCCTTTTGGTTTATATTGTAAATAGAAAACAATAGTTTTTTTCAATATTGGAAAAATTTAGGTCAAGACACGTTTTTATTCTATAAATTTTTCAATATCAGATGAACATGAATCTTTGATATATTTATGTTACAAAAAGAATGAAAAAGAACTTTAAAAATGTTACAAAAGAATTGTCTGGGTTGATAAAAAAATGTTGTTGTAGAAGTACCTTAAGGGCTTACACAGAATAAATCTTAAGGCTAATGCACAATAGTTTTGCGAACAAGATGCTTAAGATAGAGAAAGAACACAAATAGTCTGTCCTTTTCTATATTCTACTTCACGTTCACCAGACCAAGAGGCAACAATTTTTTCTACTAAATTTGCAATAAAAAATTAATTTCCATTAAAATTTCAAGTATTTAAAATTAATAAAATTAAACGAGGATTGAAAAAATTTCAGTAATTTTTAAAGAACATTTTTTCAACGCGAGAAACATTTTTTTTAAATAGATAATAAGTGCTGCACAAGTAAGTCAGTGAGTACGAGGTTAGGAGAGAAGCGTCCCCCACCCCAAAAACCCTTTTCCCCTCCATCCCTCCCTATCCCTACTTCAAAGTTAAAATCGCTTCCCAACTAACCTTCCACTCTTTATACTTACTCTATCACTTGTCCTAGACCTTCTTTTTTTATGAAATGCATAATATACTTATTGACTCTGAAGATTATTTTCCTAATTTTTCATTACATTACATAATTGATCACTCTCGGAAGCATAAAAGTTTGAAACTTTTTCCTGAGCAAACGAATAATACGAGTATATTGAATTGTTTTTTTTTTGTTAATATTAGTGGGGAAATTGTGTCATTTCTTTCCTTGCGTTCAATTTTTTTTTCACTTTTTGATGATAAGAGACCCACTTGGAATTTATTTTCAATTTTTAATAAGTGCAGCAGTACATGGTACCTACCTACAGTACGCAAAATATTAATGTAGACACGTACACGTTACATTCAAATCTTAATTTACATCGCTTAGTATGATAATACACACACTGAAATTTTTTTAATTTCACTTTTTTTTAATACGGCTTCAAATTTTTGAATTTCTCGAAAAAAAATCATTTTTGATTATTTAAATTCTATTAGATAGGAAATAATTTCGAAAAAATGAAATTGTTTATTTTTATATACACAATTTTTATAAATTATAGTAAAATAAAGTTTTTTTTATTTTTTGTACACAATTTTTATAAATGATAATAAAATAAAATTTTTTTTATTTTTATAAATTATACTAAAATAAAAAATTGGTAATAATTTATTAAGTTTATTTGTTTAATGTATTTTTCGTTATTTTATTCTAGTTTGTAATTGTTTGCAGCTGTGGGGATTGCGCATGCCTCCGGGTTGTCATGGTAACCTATAAGAGAGAAAGAGACAGACAACTTGATTTACATTCACTGTCTCTCTTTCTCTTGTACGTTGCCATAACAACTCCGGGCATGCGCAATGCTCAGAACTATAACCTCTTTAGATTAAAATAAAGAAAAATGCACCAAACAGGGTTATTAACAATTTTTTTATTTTACTACAATTTAAATTTTAAATGCTATCAATAATAACAATTTTAAATTAGTAAAATACCATTTTTTACAATAAGAAAATTTTTTTCCCGCCTATTTAATATTTTTTTGAAAATATACCTTTTTCGAGAAATTCAATTACAATTCGCATTTATCGCAGTTAATATATATATATTTTTTTTTTCTATAAACAAAACAACGATCCGGAATGAAAACCGGATAATATTTTTGAATAATTCAAAGTTTTTTTTTTGAATTTTTTTTTATCAGACTCTTGTCGCCGCCACTGTTTGCCAGAGTCTTTTTTTTTATTTTCAACTTTGTTTTTTTTGTATAAGTTCACAGATTATCATCACGATCGTATAAAAATAATTCCCTATTTTCCACTCTAATAAATTTCTTTTATCACTCGCAGGCAATACCTGAAGAAGAATGTCCCGCGTTGTTTTTTTAAAACACTTTTATATTATATTTTCTTTAAATTTACATACATTTTTTTTGTTAATAATTATTTCTCGTGTGTGTTTGTGTGTTTTTTTTTATTTGTCGTTTATTAAAAAAAAGAGAATTGATTTCTTTTTTATTTTGTTCTTGTGCGATTCATTTGTTCGTTTACGGCGAGATGGTTATGATTTTTATTTTTAAATTTTCTTTCTTTGGATTGTCGTTTTGAATTATTTTTATTTCTTTCGTTGCTTGTTCAATTTTTTACGAATGCTCTCTTCTCCTAGATCCGATAAAATTAGGCACGAGTTAAATGAATTTTTTTTGTCTTTGCGAAAAATATTCAATTAATTTTTCTTTTCGAAATTATTTATTTCTTTTTAAGGAATAGTGGAATTTTATTTTTTTTCAATTTATATATTTTTTAATCTTAATAGAAAAGTTTTTTAATTCTAAAATTAGGAAACAATTTTTATTTTCTATAAAGTTTTGAAAGAAAGTTGTAGCCATTTTTTTCTAAATTATGTTTCTGGTACTTTTCCGTAGGTCTAAACTGCGTAGATCAGTTCTGCGCATGTCTAAACTGCGTAGATCACTTGTGCGCATGTCTGAACTGCGTAGATCACTTGTGCGCATGTCTGAACTGCGTAGATCACTTCTGCGCACGTTTGACTTGCGCAGTTCACTTCTGCGCATTGTTAATAAACGTACAGTACTTTTTACAATAATTTCTTTCCATTTAGAATCATTGAAACTAAATTATATAAAACTTTGATTGTATTACGCATAATAAAATTAGTTTTGAAATTAAATTAACTTTATTATTTATAAATTCTTTTTTGATTAGAATAAAAAAAAAAAAAAATTCGGATTTTTTTATTTTGACCTGGTTGTTAATTTTCTCCTAAAAATTGAAATAAATACAAAAGAAGGGAATATAATGCGAGACAAATTTCTGAGGCTTGAGAAGATTGCTTTAATTTTTAGTGACAAGGATAGGAAATCCCTCCGAAAGTCTACTCTCGAAGCGTCATTAGTCAACCAGCTTTTCCCTTTCAGGTTACAACGAGCTGTAATTAGTGCATCATTATATAGCAGCAATTACAAACCCGATAATTTTTGTTGTTAATAATTTTTTTTAAAGCAATACAAAACAAATTATTGATTACTAATTTGCTGAATAATATTTTTTTTTGCTTTCAATAATTTCGAAAAGAAAAATTCCACATATTTTCCATATCAAACAGTTTTCTCAAAATTCATCCCTCGAAAAAAGTCCTTTACTTCAAATATCCACTTTTGATTTTTAGTAATAATTAAATAAAGTTTTCGCGGGGCAAAAAATCGTTTTCTCCCAAAAATTATTCCCGCGACATTTTTTTTTTTAAAGAAAGTAACAATTCCGCGATTCTTCGCCACTTGAGTATTTTTTTGCTGATGGACGGAGAGAGTTTAATCCCTGGCTTTCCGTATATAGTCAACGAGGGATGTGCAAGTTGGTATATAGTGAAAGGCGAAGCGTTTCTCGATTAAGCGGAATCTTAAGCCGGGTTTGTTCCCATTTCGGGTCCTCAGAAGAACCAGTGTGTGTATACATATATATTTATACAAACATATATATATATATACACCACAGGATTTCCAAAATGTCCGTCGTTGATATTGGGAAACCTTTGCTCTGTTTCTTCATCGTCGGTATGTGCACACGTACACCCGCATGTGTTTCTTCTCTCGAGAGAAATATAAGAATTTCGCGAAAGCCCCTCGTGCCCCGGGGGGAGATGTATTCTTTTTTTTCTCAAATAGAAATTGTAGTGGATCATTTATGTTGGAGAGAGCGCAAAAATTTTTAGATCCGGCTTTTCGGAAAAAGTTGAACGACACTGAGGTCAGAGACAGTCTTCTTTCAAATGGTAAAAACATCCCGGACAAAGATATACATATTTATTTATATACGTGTAAATATATTAATATCGATAATAATTTTAGTTTGAAAACATCCGGGTAAATGAAGCAAAGAAAAAAAAATGATCTGGGATCATTTCATGTTTTTCGGTTGGGGGGGTTTAATGTAAGGAACGCAAAGTTCTAGAAGAGCGTCTCCTGGGACCGGGGTGGAGGCGATTCTGGTAGTTGCCCGGACCCAGATGGTCTCTCCCTGAGCTCGATCGGCGGTGAGTGTGGCGGTGAATTAAGTGTGCTGCTGCTACTCGAGCTGATTGTCGACCTGCAGTCAGAAATCACATTCTTAGAATCATTATTTTTGTGATTGTTGACTTTAGTTTGTTCGTAGTGATGTATGAGATGGAGAATTTAATTTTGTTTCGTCATTCGTCTCGTTGTTTAGTGGTATTCTGTTCGTTGTGGTGTTTCTCCTGGTGTAGAGAATATGATAAACACTTGTGCGCATGACTAGATGACGTGGAACACTTCTGCGCATAATTAAAGACCGTAGAATACTTCTGCGCATGTCTGGGGTACGTATACTACTTCCGCGCATGTCTAAGGTGCGCACAAGACTTCTGCGCACATCTAAGGTGCGCACAAGACTTCTGCGCACGTCTAAGGTGCGCATAATACTTCCGCGCATGTCTAAGGTGCGCACAATTTTTTTGCGCACGTCTAAGGTGCGCACAATTTTTTTGCGCACGTCTAAGGTGCGCACACTAATTCTACGCTTGCCACATCTTTCAAAAAACAATTTTGAACTGTACGTTTCACGCCAATTACAAAATCCGATGGTGCTTAATAATAAAATATGTAAATAATATGAAAAAAAACATCTTTTTTCCACAAAGTCAACTTATTAATTTTTTTTTCAAAAATATTAGCGAACTTATTGAACCTTCTCGACTGATGGTATTGATCCCGGGTTGATGGTAATAAAAAAATTTAAAACTGTAAAAAATTCCAAGAGGTCTTTTTAACCCCCCTCCTCTTTTACGAACTGATACTTTTCTATTTTTTTAACGATCTCATTAGGAAGCTAAGCCTTTTTTTCGATTGGCAATGTGAACATAAAAGTGGAGTAGATTTCCGAGAAAATGAGTGTCGAGCTTTTCCTGGTTTATCGACGCGATTTCAACGCTGAAAGCTTAGGAATCAGCGTTCAAGCACTAGAATTACCATCGTAATACCAAAGACAAATTTTTTTCCCCTCTAAAAGCACATTTTTTTCGGGTCATTATTATATTTTCGACTTTTTGAAATTAAAATTATTTTTGGCCCCCAGAGAAGAGAATAATTTCAAAAATATTTTGAAAATTGTTATTTTTCTCTTAATCAAATTGATGAAAATTTACTTCCTTTGTTGTTTAAAACCAATTGCACATCGATTATAATTAGTCGTTAATAATTTAAAACCGAACGAATTATAATTTTATGGAATTAAATCGTAATATTGTTTTTTTATTCTTATTTTTACGTTTTAACGATAAAGATATACGCGCATTCGTAGAATTATTATGCAATATTCATATAAAATACATTGCAGTAAATTTTCCATTTTATAATTAAAATTTTAACGATACAACTCTCATTTTATAAAGTACGAAATTATTTGTATTTTACATAACAATTATAAATTTAACGAACTAGTCTTTACTAATTTATCACTATAAAAAAAAATCATTCAGTTTTTTTCCCCTCTAAAAATTGTGCGTATTTTCAGATAATTTTGTCAAAAATGAGAATTTAAAAAAATAGTTATTAAAAATTTTTAAATTCTATTTTTTTTAAAAGTCGTATTTTTTTCTCGCGATATTCGACAAACAGAAAATAATTTTGTTTACATCGCGGATAGGATTTTTTTATAAAAAAAAAAATAAAAAATTCACCCAGATAAGCTTGCACAGAATGTACATATAGAGTTGGAAAAAGTAAGACTGAACTCTTCGATCTTGTTGGATGTTATGCAGAGAATTTACGATCTACTTCTATATCGCCGCGTATACAATTTAAGAGCCACTTAAATCCCCTTAGAGAAAACTTATTCCTACCGCTTTTGCAATCGTTTTCATTTTAAATATTTCACTAAGAATCCATAAATGCTAATAAATAAAAATGATAAACGTGAAAAAAGTGTTTTATCACTCTCGTAAATTGCATTTCGAAACAATTTATCAAAATTATTTAATTTTTGTAACAAAAAAATTTTTTTCATGGTTTGTATTGTAAACGGAATGTTCGGGAATTATTGACACTTGAGAAAAATGAGTAGGACTTAATTAGAAATTTACGTTTTAATTTCCAAGTACTCATCTGACTCGAGTGGTCTGATTGGTTATATTAAGTCGAGTCAACAATAGAGATTGTTAGGTTAAGTCTGCATTGTAGAAAGACCTTAACCTTAAGATCCCTTTAGGGGAATCCCTCTTTAAGTCTCTGTTGTAGACAGACCTTAACCTTAAGCTCCCATTAGGGGAATCCCTCTTTAAGTCTCTATTGTAGACAGACTTTAGCCTTAAGCTCCCTTTAGGGGAATCCCTCTTTAAGTCTTCATTGCAGACAGATCTTAACCTAAAGAACCCTTTAGGGGAATTCCTCTTTAAGTCACCATTGTAGGCAGACCATAAGGGAGCGAAAGTGAGGTCAATCTCAAGCTGGAGAGATGTGAAAAAAATGATAAATACCTGAGTCTGGGTCTTTGTGTTTCAATGGTGGCACTGATGGTCAAACAGGTTCGACATGACCTGGCTGGTGGTCGTCGTCGAGGCACACAACTTTCACAGCCGTCCCACCTGGCGAGAAGACGTCTTGAGCTAGGCGGCACTCTCAGGAACTGTGGTTGACGATAATTCGAACCCGTGACTTCCGAGTCGGTGGAAAAACCCGAGACTTCATCCTCAGTGTCAATGGTGTCCTCATCGTTGATGAAAACCGAGTCCGAGCCAAGGGACCTTGTGTCCGGTTCCGGTGGATCAACACTTGTCATTGAGGCTAAGGGCGCACGTTTACCGGAAGCGAGCGCCCTCGCCGTTATCGCACCCGCAGTATAGAGGCCAGCCTCACTGTCACAGGGCGATATATCAGGCGTTGGTTGTGTCACCTAAGCAATAAAATTCATTCTTCAATATCTGCAAATTCTCCCTAATTCAATATCTCCAAAATTCCTCTCCTAATATTTCGATAACCATTAGGTTATTAATTTCGGGATTTGAAATTAGAAAAGGATTACCTTTTCTAATTTCAAATCCCGAATTTTTTCTACTTGGCCTCAAAAGATTAAGGGTAGCCTAATAAAACCAGTACTTTATCCATAAACTTTCTAACCATCATCATCATCTTAGTTGTCCTCCTAAAAGATAAGAGCCCCCCCCCTACAATATTAGGAGACTTAATAGTGATAATAGAGCAAGGAATATCTAAAAGTACATTACATTTGTTAATGGACAAGTAAACAAATTAACCTTCCTAATGGACAAATTTGAGAAACTCATTAAAGCTCAAGAGAAAAGGGAGATGGAGAAAAAGACAGAGAGTGTTCGCCACCTAAAGTTTTCAAGTCTGAGAAGTTGCTCGATGGAAGGAGGATTATTGAAGACTTATAAGGACCAACTATGTTCAAAGTTCTCCAAAGGAGAACAAACAAAACGAATCAAGTTTCTTTGATGACTCAGGAGTTTCTCACTTGCGTCAAGTTTTCTTATATATTTTCACTTTAGAAAGAAACTCTACAAACAATTTTGGTACCTCGATTTAAATAAAGAGATCCGAGAGGGACGCGATTCTGTCAGAATGATTAATTAGCCAAGTTTGCCATTTGAATTCCCAATTGAGAAAATATGATCATTTGGGGTAATAATATTCCAAATTGGTAATCAATTATTAGATGATGGGGAAGTTCCTTATTTGAAGACTTTCATTTTCTAAGGATTTTTATTATTTATTTTTATCTTCTGCTGTGTAACCTTAATGGGATATTGACTACACTTCAAGTCTAGTTTTATTGTTTCTATTTATTTGTTTAGGTCTTGGTTTCTTTTGAAGGTATTCAAAATTGATTCCCTGGTTTTTGTTTTCGAAATTAGGTTTCGAAAACCTGCAGGAAATTAAGGACAGGTCCGTAGTGAATATGTTTGTTGTTTATTTTGGCGGCGAAGAAATATGCTAGGTTAATAATAGTTAGGCTTATCATAGAAGTAAATAAACAGACATACCTGAATATCTATTGGATATTCAATATGATGATAACGGTCCCAGGGCTCTTCGTATGAAGGTGCATGTCGTGGATAGGATGGAGGCGGCGGAAGATAAGGCAACGTTGTAGCTGATTCTCTCCTCTCCAGATAGCTACTCCCTGTACTGCTACATGTCACTGAACTGTACCTTCTTTGATCTTCGGGAGGACTCCTTGAGCATCTTCGTCGCCTTTGCCGTCTAAGCGGAGGCATTACAAACGCGTCGTAACCACCTCCAATCGACGAGAACCTAGGCGACGACAGCGGAAATCGATCCAGCTGCTCAAAAACAAAGCAATCAGAATTTTTCTAAAGACAAAACATTTGATTGTGATTTACTAAAGTGAAGTTCCAGTGATTGCTATTTAGAAACACACTTTAAAATATATTTAATCTAATCAGGAAGGATCCTTCCTCTAATATACAAGGTACTACTAAAATTAATAAATATCGACGATGAATTAGGGAAATGTTATGTTATTCTATTCTTTGGTTTAAATAAGCCTAAAGTTGGTCCTTACTTCTGGACAGAGGGATCTTCTTCCATGATTTAATCTCGCCTCGAGTGCTGCAGCTAAGGCCTCTTCAGCCTCTGCTTCGGCAACAGCAGCCTCAGCAGCTGCGGTTAATCTAGGATCGTTGAGTTGCCTGTTCTTTTTGCTTCTGCAACAGACCGAAAAATCCTTTGCTATATTACCATCTAATGTCTACTAGACCTAAACTCATTGTCATAAGAAAATAAATATCAAAAGTGTTTCAGACTATCGGTAAATTGGTGTTCGGATAATTATCGAACGAGCATAACTAGATACTTTAATGAGGTAATTCACCTGGAATTCAATATAAAAAAGAAAGCACTGATTTGACTGCCAGGTCGACAAAAATTAATAATTTTGCAACATGAAGTGACGCTTAAATAAAATGTATCCAAATTATAAAATACCTGCTTTTGTAGATCACCATAATGACCATTAGGCCGAAAAAGCTACCAAGAGTTGCGGCTATCCTAATCCCCACCATAGGATCATACGTCTTATAAAATTCGATTTTGATAAGATCCCTTTCACTGAGCGTTGGTTTAGCATTTGGAATGGACGCCGAGGGGTCCACTGGGGGCGTCGGCGCCGTAGGCGGTGGCGTTGTTGTGGTCGTTGTCCCCGTCGCATTGCTGCCGATGTTCGCCTTTCCTGCAAAAAAAAAAAAGAAACAAAAATAAATTTTACTTTAAAAAAAAAGATACATTCAATGATAATCCGGTTCATCCCCAAAAAAAGAAATAAAATTTATATCAAGAGTTTCCAAACTTGTTCGGTAATTTATCAATTTCACTCTCTCACTATCTTCCATAATACTTTTATTTCCTTTCTCTCTCATAAAGTACTTGTGATGTCGATTTTTATTTTATAAAGAAAAAAAGGAGAATGGGAAGAAGTTTACGAAAGTTGGCGCATCGTAGTAAACTCAACTTTTGATAGAATTAGGTCTCCGCGGAGTTTTCATTTCATGTCCTTATTTACTTACACCCGTTGCCCCCATATAGATAATATGCAACTTCTGTCAACTTGGAAAGTTGAGCCCTTTTAGTACACAGGTGTCGTGTGGCGTTAACAAGTTTTGGATAAAAAAAAAATTTACATGATATTAAGTCCCAGTGGTGTTAAATTTAAATTTTTTAAATTATCTATAGTGGAGTCAGGATGAAGGTGATAAAAATTTTTCTTGGTTTTTAAACGAATTACGGAGATTTTCAGTTAGTGTTGTCTAACTTCTAATGATACTAGAACTTCTAACTGGGAAAACTTACTTTTGAGTTGTGCACAATTAAGTAGCAGGAAATTGCCACTTATTCCAGTGCTACAATCCTTAAGGATGACTTTACTTGTTGGATTTTATTTGGTATCTTAATAGAATGTTCTCTTGGTACTGGATTATTCATAGAAGATACAATTACATTTTTTCTTTACCAGCGTTCACTGTAGACTGAGCTATAGAAGACGGGAGACAAATGAAGACAATATAAACGACTGTAAACAACAAACTTTTCTCAAGAAAATACTGTGATTTTAAATTGATTTCGTCGTCACAATACTTTAGTGAATAGCCCCTCGAATCATAGTCACGTTCAGTTGGCAGAGAGAGAAAGAGACGACTGCGCACGTAGGACGCGCCGCGTCTCTTCCCCCACCACTCGCTCTCCTCGCTCCTTATATACCGTTCGCTCAGTCCCTTTTCGTCAGTTCTTCTTCCGACTTGCCTCGAGATGCTCTTCGACCTAACAGGAAACGAGCCAAGCTCTGAATCATTGAATGAATTCTATTCATCCAATGGATGCTTCCCAGGTTAAATAGAATGCAGTCCAGCTAGTTTTAAATAAGAATCGACCGTATTAGGATAGTAAATTAAGACTATTTTTTTTCGTTAAAATGTCGGTTCGACGAATGTTATTATTTTCGTTGAATGTCTGATCGACGAAATGTGTTAATTTGTTCAAAATAATTCCAATACTAGTCGTAGTAGAAAATCATTTTCGGGATCAAATCCCGTTATCGAATTTTATCAATTTTAATTTTAAAATAAGATGGAAAAAAATTTCACAAGAAAAAATGTTATAAATATAAACAGGGCTGGTGAAATGAGATTATGTAAAACGTTCCGAAAATGGGACAAACTTTGAAAAACAATAAAGTTTTCTATCAGTGAAATATTATATAGATGGAGGTGTATAAGAGGAGGATAAGGTCGGTTGTTGGAGGATATTGAAGGTGAGGATGAGCGGGTGAATGGAGTGAGGGGGAGGTGTGGGATGTTTGAAAAGAGGTTATTCCATGCTGGAGGCCTCGAAGCGGTTGGGTGGTATTGTAGGGGGTTAGGAGATGGTTGCTTCATGTATTGATTCCCTCTTCTCTGAGCCTATGTACAGGATGTAGGCAAAGGCATATAGTATCGGTATCGGGGATGGTACACCAGAAGGCGCGATACCCAAACGACTGAAACCTTTGATTCAAAGGGAAAATTGATTTAGCGAGTCAAGAGCCGCATCGAGATTAGATTAATTGAGTGTAAGATGTTTGCAGTTAAGTGTTGAAGGGGGAATTTTAGATGAGGCTTTATGGAGGGAAAGTGACTTAAGGTTGTCTAACAGGTGCTCTTGACTAGCTAATCAGGAAATTGCTTAGGAGATGTCAAGGGCTTTCATTGTATGTTGCCAATCCACTTTGGGATAATGATCCTCGATAGCCATTGATTATTCATGTTAAATTACCTATTGGGAGATTAATTGTTGTCCGTGTGCATAACGTTTGTCTCAAAATACACCTCTCACACCTATTGGCCATTTCACTGTTTCTAAATAAACCCATTTTCGAAACATTTTATTAAACAACCTATTTCTAAAAATTTGTAATTTATCCCTATCAGCTGTTTGTTAAAAGACGAAATAGTAAATCTGGCATTTACAACTTTTTCGGGTCGTTCGTTTAGATTTTTTATGTGTGCAACAATTTAAATTAATGCGAATTCTCGGGGAGTAAATTCCCAAAAGCTGTGTGGCAAACGTCACTGGGATCCCTTCTCATTCGAAGATTCAAGAGAGAGTGGGCCAAACAATTTCGCCAAACAGTCTGCACCTGATTGTATGCTGGTTGGAATTTTGCAAAGCGCAAATGTATGACTCGGATTTACGAGCTGCGAAAGCATGAATGTATATGAGCATAGCGCAGTGAAGCTATTACGCGGTATTAAATTTGCCCATTATAGTTGAGAGCTTGTCGACGCTACTTATACTGTCAGGCAGGGGAGAGTGGGGAGATAATATCAGACACTTGACTAATCACACTTTAAAGTCAAATTTAACACTTGACTCGTTTTAATTTTTGTCAAGATAAAAAATTATGTGTTCTTAAAAACAAACCTATGAAAATATCAGATGTTACATAATGTCAAATATTTCTTTTATTAACATTTTTTTTTAAATTTTAATTTTGAAGAATTTCCGGCAGTTAGACAGTTAGCGTACATAGAAAAAAAGGAAATAATGGAAATATTTTAGGCAAAAAAAAGAGGCCCTAGTGAAACGAAGATCGATAGAGAAAATCACGGACGAGATAAATTGCTGCTCGATTTCCTCCTTCCATTCTCTAGTTCTAGGGGTTAATTTACCCCCACCCTCCCTTTCAGCCCCCATCCCTCTTCTATTTTACCAACCCGCACTCTCCTCGTATCCAGGAATGCACTGGAGCATTCGACCTTTCAAACTTGTTGCTTCCTGCCTTTTTGTACGTCGCGAAATTCTCGGCAAGAGTTTTCACAATCTGACCCCACAAAAAAAAGGGAGAAAAAAAACAACAGAGATTCTTTATACTGTTGTTCGTCGGGAAAAATTTGGATGATTAGTCTCTTTCTTATACAGAAACATTGAGGGGAAATATTAGGAAAAAAAGGAAAAAAATTGTATTTTTGAGGGTTTTATTATTCTGATGATGGTTTATAATTTAATTGAATAGTGAATAATTTTCGAAAAATTTTGGGTTTGAAAACTAATATAATTTCTGGAAGATAAAGGGCAATTGGAAGAGTAATTCTTTGTTCCATTCATTGAAAGTGGTACGCTTGGACAATATTCTCTAAAATTTTCAAGTAAATAGAATGAGTAATTTTCAAGTAGTAGATACAGGACAATTACTAAAGTGCTCTTTGACCCTCGAAGGTAGATAGCCGGCAGCGTTGCTAATAACCGGTCTCATGATTAGATGTTAGACCATTGTTAGATGTCAACACATTTGTGACAGTCGATTATTTGCAAGGGACTTAGTATTTATCTTTGGAGAGTGGGTACCCAGGGTAAATAACTAAATAATTAGTATTTGTACACAAACGGAGTGTAAACTACCATATTTTTCGAATCACTAAAACTCTTTTACTCAATTTGTTCTAAACATGAAATATTTAATTTTTTCGTAATAGAAAAACAGCTAATTTTTTTTGGCTGGATTTGGCAAGATGACGGTCGTGATTGGTTGAATTTTGCATGATGACGGTCGCGATTGATTGTAATTCCATGATGACGGTCACGATTGATTGAAATACCATGATGACGTTTGTCGTTGGAATGAAAATATGATGTTGACGGACGCGATTGGTTGAAATACCATGATGACGCTTGTCGTCGGTTGAAAATATGATGATAACGGACGCGATTGGTTGAAATACCATGATGACGCTTGTCGTCGGTTGAAAATATGATGATAACGGACGCGATTGGTTGAAATACCATGATGACGCTTGTCGTCGGTTGAAAATATGATGATAACGGTTGCGATTGATTGAAATTCCATGATGACGGTCGCGATTGGTTGAAATACCATGATGACGCTTGTCGTTGGTTAATCTTTTAATTTTTTTTAGAGTCGTTGGCCAAAGAAACAAATTTTCCTTCAGTGTGAGGTCGAGGAAATGACGTTGTCTAGCGGAAACAGGGAATGCAGTAGATTTCCCTCAAATTGTTTTCGGGCCAACCAAACTGAAAGGCCTGGAGTTCAGGTGTCGATGTAAATTAGATAAAACACCCCTCAGCCTAGGAGTGACCGAATTATTTATTTGACGTTGATGTCGAGGTAATGCAGTCATTAGAAAAATAGAAATGTGTCTCGTAGTAGAAATTATCTTCTTGAATGAATTTGACTAGGACGGGACTCGAAGAAGGCACTTGGTACTTGAAGAGGTTTTCTAAACTGGAGTCGAAGAAGAAACTTGATGACAGTACACAACTAGTTAGCTTGGTGACGGTTCCTGGACTGACGAATTCGGCAAGTGTGGCCCCATCTAAGTTCCTTGCAAACGGACAATATGATACCACCACTCAATTTATTTCGGGGTCAATTTTTTCTTCGCAATTCTATCTAGTTACTTTATGGACCCTAGTTACTTTACAGATCGAATTAGAGAAAGAGAAAACTAAAGTTTTCTCTGTCCTCTGGAAAAATCCCTTCTAAAGACTCAAACCTGAGAAAAGTATGACACCTGACAAATGGATGAAGTAATCGGTAAAAAAAATATCGAGAAAATTCAATAAAGTAGAGAGGAAGGGAGAGAAAGAGAGAGAGAAAAAAGAAAGAGCGCGTGCTTTTATCGTTGCCCGGATGTCGAAGTTGCTGATAACGTAGGGAAAAGAGGGTTGGAAGTGAAAGGG